TTTCTACTCTCCCAAAAATGGTTGTTTCACTTTTGTAGATAAACGTCCCTTTTACAGTGGTTCGTTGTATTGCAGTTCATCTTCGCGGCAGGGCAAGGGTAGAGTAAAGGTGTTCATTAAGGCTACCTGTTGCGCAAGGACCTGGTGAACTCAAAGATCCTGTCAAACGAGAGGGACGGTTGTCATGTCGGCTGTGAGATATGTCAATCTCCTGCAGTGTAGACGCACACCTTGTAGGGCACAAGGTGAGGCTCACACTTGTACCATCCTGTCACCTGCAGCCTGGCGTCTTGGTGACTGCAAACCTACAACAAACTCAAGTTTCCCCAGGCCTACAGGCCACGGCTTGCCTTAGTTCCGTCAGGTTCAACCTGACGTTGGCTCATCCAACTTATCCCAAAGGGGCCTCATTCTAACCTGACAAGTAACGTTTCTGACGGTTCGAGGCCAAGTGACTAATACCAATTGTAGGACCACCCAGAATATGTACATGCTTGTATGCAGGGTTGTAGACTAATTAGAGTCGAGAAAGTGCTACAGACAAATTTCCTGGTGAAGACAGAGTTGAAGAAAATGGATAGCCGAAAACATGAAGGAAAGGTTAAGGCTTACTTCACGAGAATATCTGATGGTCAAACTAAGGCCCACTTTTGGTACTGTTTGAACATGTCGTTGCCCAGACAACAGAAAAATGTTTAATGTGGTTATTGTAAAAAAACTCTGATACTCTGAGACAATAGCATACTCTCCAAATTTCGGCAGGAGTCTAAGTATCTTTGACAAGATCTGATCTGATCTGATCCTTTGTGACTTGGCCAGGAGCATGAGTAACAACAAGTGCTTTTATTGCATCTGTGGTCCATACGGAGGCCATTTTCTGGCCAAATTGCATCAAGAGTGATGCTATGACAAATTGAGCTCAATGGCAAAAGTACGCTTAGTGAAGCATTGGGTGCGAATGTTTGTCTCTCAATCAGCTCATCCTCAGTTCGAACTCGGCAAGCTTGACTAGCAATGGTCCTTTGAAAGACCTGGCCAAATCACATCACATTGAAGGACGAATTTCTCTGATCAAAAATCAAGATATAACTAAGAGCTGATAACTCTCACAAAATAGATGAAATATAATTTCATTAGTAAAATTAGAATTAACCAAGTAGCCAATCAATTAATACTTTAATACAAATAGAATATAAGTAATGTCATCAATGGGTATAGCAAATATAAGTTTGCTTCATCAACAATCCCGTTACAGAATGTGATATGAGAAAATGCCTGGCCTTACTTGAAATTTATATTTGCTCTGTCATGATTACATGCTGTATTGTCATGGTTCGAGTCCCACTGGAGGTGCTGATGAGACCTTGGCGAAGTCGAAACTGCAGTCCATTCTGGATAAAAACACCTTTTGGTAAGCAAGGTTTTGTGAAACGTAAGGTCTACTCACATCTTTGTGGAAAAATTAAACTGCCAGCTCATCATGACTTTAATCAAAAAAGCATGTAAATAGGTCAAAAATAATAAAGCAAAAACGTAATGACTTAACTCTTCGAAATGTATTTACTTTAACTAACTGTATCATAATTAGCTAGGATCAACAGTGAATTAAAATAAGTCCTAACTAGTTATCTGGCAAACGCAGCTTCTGCTTCCTAGACAGCTCAACTGAAGTAGTGACTTTCGACTCCTTCTTTTATTGTTTAAGATCTGTGCCAAATGCAACGGATTCCTTGAAATAATTTAATTCTTTCATTCTACCACCAATCAATCAGTATCCCCTCCGAAGTGGGAACTCCCTTTTTACTCTTCTCTATTCACAGTTGAATTGCTCACTTATATGCATCTCCAGCTCTGCTAGAGCACGAAGATTGCCTCTTGCATATTACCGATTCAAGTCCTGCCTCTGAACATTTTAACACTTACTGATACAAATATCTTTGAACCTCTTTCCTGGCGATCAAGTTTAATCAAACGAAGGCAATTTGTCCATTATTTAAGGAATATGAAAGAGAATATGCATACAATACACTAAAATTTGCTGCAAAGAGGATTTCCTCCATTTGAAGGTTTTGCTCAAAAGAATTGCCTGATGTAAATTTTGTCGATCTGCGTCCAAATTTATGATCGCGGCTTCATCAAGACCATCCTATGCTTGTAATTCATTGTTGAAGGGACTTTCATTTCGTATAAAAGTGCATGAAGATGAGATTCGTAGGTCGAGCTCAGCAGAAGAGGACGCATGAAGCCCGTCCGCCCAACAATGTTATCTCAGGATATTTATTGAAACCCAGTTTCTCTTCGTATCTACAGCCTGTAATTCAGTTAGAAAGTAGCATTCGTCAGTGAAATTCCTTCCGTGTAAGCACACGGTTATACAAAATATTCTTACAAAGAGTGTATTTATAAGCGATTCTCGCCTTCTGCTCCCACTGAGCAATTTGACGAACATTATCTTCCAGGATGATGTAAGATCAGAAGCATAGACATAACTAAGATATGGTTATGGGGAATTTCATTTCGTATGAAAGCGCATGAAGAAGAGATTCGTCGGCGATCTCACCAGATGAGGATGGTTGAATCTCGTTGTATTGCAGCCGTTTGGCTTTTATATGATATTCACTTTCATACAAAATGAAAGTCCCCCTAACAAAGTTATCTAAAGAGACTCATTTAAACCCAGTTTCTCTTGGTATCTATAACTAAGATATATCATATGTATTCACACATTTTCGTTTAAGGCGATGAAGGAGAGGTAGAAGAATTTTCCTACAATGATATGACGTTTCCATTGATTTCCATAGAGCCTTGATTTCCCAAAAGTTGTTCTCATCCAGGCACCAGTGGACTGCAGCTTCGACCTCGCATCGGTCTTATCAACACACCCAGCGGGAGTCGAACCGTGACAGTGCAGAATGGTAGATTTCCACGTCAACCACTCTGTCACATTGTCACGAGTGCACTT